GCTTTGATATCAGCAAAGGCTTGTTCTGCATCCGAAGTCCAGACGAATGAAGAGCCTTTGATACATTCAGTCAATGGTGCCGAAAGATTGCTGAAGTGTGGAACAAAACAGCGATAAAAAGAGGCTAAACCATGAAAACTCCGAACCTCGGTGATAGAAGTAGGGGTCGGCCACGAGAGTATAGCTTCAATCTTACTGGGATCAACCTGCAATCCCTTGGAAGACACAATATAGCCCAAAAACAGGACCTGAGAAGAGCCAAAAACGCACTTGTGCCGAGCAGCAAAGAGTTGTTCCCTACGTAGAACAGTGAGGACATCTCGCAAATGCCTAAGATGAGATTCCAAGTCTGCACTAAAGATAAGAATGTCGTCGAAATAGACAACAACAAACTGACCAATAAAAGGTCGCAAGGCTTGATTCATGATTCTCATAAAGGTACTAGGGGCATTTGAAAGACCAAACGGCATAACGAGCCATTCAAACAAACCCTCACGAGTTTTGAAGGCTGTTTTCCACTCATCACCTGGACGAATTCGAATTTGATGATATCCACTCTTCAAGTCCAACTTGGTAAACAGAGAAGCAGAGCCAATTTGATCGAGGAGATCATCAAGACGCGGAATGGGAAATCGATAACGAATCGTGATTTTGTTGATTGCGCGACTATCAACACACATACGCCAGGATCCATCTTTCTTCGGTATTAACAATGCCAGGACAGCGCAAGGGCTTAAGCTTTCACGGATATGGCCTTTGGCTAACAATTCTTCAACCTAACGGCGAAGCTCGTCGTGTTCTTGAGGACTCATGCGGTAATGAGGACGATTAGGTAGGACAGCGTCTGGGGCAAGATCAATGTGATGCTGGATATCACGGAGAGGTGGTTAACCTAAAGGGAGATCCTGTGGAAAGACATCCTGAAAATCGTCAAGAAGTGGGCGAAAACTCTCTGGAACTTCCATCAAGGGAGCAACCGAAGCAGGTTGTTGAATGAGAGCAAAAATCGTAGAAGTTTTGCAAAGTTGCTCTTCAAACGCCGCTTTAGAGAGTAGTAGTAACGGTTGTTTTGGTGGAGCAACAACGTTAGGTGGGGGAGGAACGGCAGAAGCGAGGTCGTAGTTCTCGGGTGAAGGGTGGAGGGTAATAGTACGGTTTGCAAACACAAAGGTGTAAGTATTATCACGTCCGTGGTGAATGGTAGCGTGATCATATTGCCAAGGGCGACCTAAGATGATATGACCTGCATCCATAGGTAACACGTCACAATGTAAGGTCTCCTTATAAGTATTTCCAATGGATAAGGGCACAAGAACTTGTTTGGCGACGCGCATAGTTGTGGTAGAGGACACCCAAGCAAGCGTGTAAGGAGAAGGGTGCTTTCTGTGGGCAACTCCAGCTTACGAACTGCTTCATCGGAAATAGCGTTGACGCAACTACCAGAGTCAATCACCAGACGACATATTTTGCCATTGACTGTGCACGTGGAGCGAAAAAGATTAGACCGGAGCCAAGGTTCCTGCGAAGAGCGAGGAAGAAAGCAGCTACGACGAAGTACTAACAGAGGTCCTTTATCGCCAAACGCATCTTCAATATCGGCTGGAGGATCATCCCCGTAGTCATCATACTTGGCTTCGTGGTCAACATCAGCATCATCAAGGAGTAAGCCGCGTCTTTTAGCATTGGGACATGCTGTTTGGCGGTGACCAGGTTCACCACAAGAGTAACAGCGAAGTGCATTAGGACGAGACGGGCGAGAGGTGTTGAGATTCTCTGGAGGTAGTGGCGGGCGAGATGAAGTAGCACGGTTGGAGGGAACCAAATCAGTCGTGACCACTGCGGGGAGCTCTGTAGTAGGCGAAAAACGTTGACGAGAGCCTCCTGTATTCCACGGTGGTCGAATTTGAAGCTCCATAGACAACGCTCGTTGATAAGCTTCAGAAACAGAGTTGGGGTTGAACTGTTGGAGTGGAACTTGCAATTGAGGTCGTAATCCACCCAAGAATCGAGAAACCAGTTGATCTTCTGTTTCTGTAAGTGAAACGTGAGCCAAAGTCTGAAAAAATTCAGTCGCATAATCTTCAACTGTTTTTGAACCTTGGCGGAGATTTTGTAACTTGGTGTACAAGGTACGCTCATAGTTGTATGGAAGGAAGGTACGACGCATGTGTTTCTTTAATTTCTCCCAAGAGCAGAGTTTAGGCTTGCCGGAGTTTTGTCGAGCAGCCTTAAACTGTTGCCACCAAGCAGAAGCACGGCCTCGGAACTTCGTCGCCACGAGCGATGTGCGCATGTCTTCTGGTACACGTTTAAAATCAAGGACTTCTTCGACGAAGCTAAGCCAATCAAGGAATTCTTCGGGTTGGAGAGTTCCCAAAAATTCGGGAATATCCATCTTGAAGCTAGCTTCCCAGCGAGTTTCACCGGCATCACGTTCATCTCGACGGAGATTGTTGCGACCTTGTTGCGCCCATGGATTGTCGGTGGGGTCATCGGAGGAGTCTGTAACAGAGGTTGCATCGGTGGGTGGAGGAGCATGTTGATGTTGGAGAACGGTGGTGAGAGCTTCTTGAATTGCTTCGCGAAGCGAGGCTTTAAGGTCTTGTTGAAAAGAGGAAAGTTGCTGTTGAAACGCATCAGCTTGGTCTTCAAGCGTAGGTTTCTTCCGAGGTGCCATCGAGGGATCGAGAAGTCTCTGATACCAACTGATAGCGTGGAGGATAGTAGCTGCAAGAATAGATCGTTTAGTCTAAGAATACCCGAACGATTCAAGCCTTCTCGTTAACGTTGAGATCGAGTTATGATCTGCCGTGAACAAGGGTTAAGAGAAACAAAGCTCTTATTAATAATTCAATCAAAAGTATGATCTCTTACAAGCCAAGAGAGTCATATATATAAGCTAGAAATAACAAAGAAAAGGAAAAGAACTAATAATGGAAAAACAGAGTAAAAGGAAATCAAAACCATAACGATTAAGTAAATATTCTATAAGAAAGAAAAGGAAATAAGAATGGCGGCTGCATCACAACCAAAGCCACAAATTAGAGACCAACAACAGAAGATCAGTAAAAAGGGACTTGTTCCTTCCTACGATGATCTTTCCCAAGTTGACATCAATCATGTTATATCCCATGATGTCTCGTTGGTGGGTTTGAGCCATATCTTCGCCAATAATTTGTTAAGGTTCTACATAAAGAGGACCACTGCTGAAACTTGTGGGAAGATATGTGAAAGCTATTCGATGCATATTCAGAATTGGAGCTTGAGGACAAGCTCCGAGTGGAGGAGGGGTGTAATGATATAAGACTATGGTTAGGGTGTTGAGACTATCGTTAGAGTGTTTTAATTAATAGTTTTGGTGTTTTAATTGATTATTTAGGTATTCATGTTTTCCTTTTTACATTAGGGTTTTGTATCAAGATCTATATAAAAGTCTCTAATCTCTTATTATATAAAGCTGGATGCGCACAACGTGGTTCCAACACGTATGATTTTTATAAAATATAAGATTGCGACATGTGTCATTTTTAGTGTTACGTCCGTTAAGATCGTGACACATGTTTTGGGAAAAAGAAAAAAAAAATGGGAAAATTTTAATTTTCTATAATAAAAAACGAAAATTTATATAATAAATTGAAAATAATGTATGTCTTGGAAAAAAAGGAAAAAAAAAATAAAGAGAAAATTTTAATCTTTTATAATAGACACGAAATTTATATAATAAATTGAAAATAATGTAATAAAAAAACCTATTAGTACATGGAATAGGTTTGTAAACTAAATATCCTAAAATTGTATGAAATAGGTTACATAAATCTTTTAATTATCTTTCTCTAATTTTAAAATCGTCTTTGAAAGTTTAAGAGAACATTGGAGATTATATTATTTAACTCTAGGTCAATTGGATTGAAATCAAAATTATCGCCGTACTATAGTACGTGTTATTCGAAAGTGGAAAGTTAGAAATCCTATAGAAAATAATATTTTTATGGGAGTTGAGCTTCTATTACTTGATGAAAAGGTTAGTAACATCTTATTATATTGATATAGATAACCTTATTACAACATTGATTAACATTAAAGTTTTACTTTTGTTTAAAACAGGAAAACACAATACAAGTTTTTGTGCATCATTCACTACTTCAAAATTTTGAAGATCAAATGACCGAAGGAAACATTATCGAAATTTGTAATTTTAATATGCAGTCTATTGATAAAAAAAACTTCTATTACTTGATGAAAAGTTTGGTAACATATTATATTGATATATATTTTATTAAGAAAAATAAGAAAGATAACTCTCATTAAGAAAAGAAAAAAAAAACGAAAATCACACAAAAAAATAATTTGTTACATCCATTAGGAAAGGAAAAGTAAAACATATTTCAAATACGGAAAGGAAAAAATAATAATATATAATAAGCTATAGCCTTCATGATTTAATTGTGTGATTCTATCTTTTGATTAAAATAGTTTAATCTTTTTGTTAGGTGAAAAAATATTAAAAAAAAATTCACTAACTGAAATCTCTTCAATAGAATAATAAAATTTTCACGAATTAGTCAATAAATCAAACTTACACATGTGTAAGTCTTTCAATTTTAGATAAAAGTAAAAAAATAACAAATTAATTCATTTTTCGTATCATGAATTCAGAAAATATGTCAAGAAATGTAAAAAGATTACCAATCTAATATTATTTAGAGGTATTTTATCGGGGTTTTATTATTAATCTACTTACTTTTAAAGTGTCAAATTTATTTAATATTATTATATGATTTATTTCAAAAATTGTATAATAAACCCGCGCGGGACCTAATCTAGTGATTAATAAGAAACTAAGCCCCAAAAATTAACCTTAATCTCTAAGAGAGAATTAGGATTAAAAGGGAACTAAGCTTTTACATCTTTCAATCTAAGTGTGTGGACAAAGGTTCATATCAAATGCAAGAAAGAGAGAGAGATGTTACGGTTGTGGTGGTCCCATGTAGTCAGGTTGATTACCAAATCGAGGGAAGAAGCAAGGATCCTCCGGTCGTGCAACCAAACATAATCAGTTTAATAAATCAATCAAGTAAGCTGATAGTTTCTCTTGTCTTAAAAATGATAGAGAGGATTGATGGTTCGTACCTACAAGCATACTACCATTGCCAAAACCACCCCTGGAGAGAAACAATCAAGAAGATACATATTAAGATGGTGAATGACACTGGAAGTGAAACGAAGCTATGCGTTTGTATTATAGATTGTAACACACACCTGAGAGGGTACACTCCAGCACCTGGGCCAGCGAGGAGATCACCAACGGGTATCGGAGGAATTACCACACTGAAAAATATAAAGTCAATAAGCCATAAGTTTTAGTTTTTTTGTTGCCTAATCCGTTACAGGAAAAATTGTCATGACACAATGAACTTTCTCCTGTACTCTGTCATTGCAATTATGACTAATAAATCATATGAACAAAACTTGTAAATGACTCTTTTCTTGTGACTGAATTTACACTAAAAGTTGGTAAGGTATTGAACCTTTTCAAATTCAGCTGAATATCCTCCAGCTCGTAAGATATTTTAGAGAATAGCAGAAGTTGAACCTTTTCCCATTGTTCCAGGCTTCCAGCCACATGAACAACCTATAATCACTTCCCTCATTCTTAATTTCACATTTAAGATTCCACCAATCATGAACTATTATGCATAACACATCAAAATTTCAATTGTAAACACAAACTTTCAGCAACTCCATTTCTTTTCGATTTGAACTAATCACTGCCCTAGCGGCAACTTTGATAATAGCAAAGCGGCAACCATGATGATGAACAAAGTTTAAAACTTTTATTTTAGCTGTTTCAATGAGATTGGAAATGTGAGCTACCCACACTGCTCAGGGATCTTCACAGTCTCCATTGGGATTCCTCTCCATGATTTACTGACAGAAGCACAAGAGACGACGGCTGCTGGAGCAGGCCATGCCGTGTCACTCTCTTCAACTTTCCGGATGATGTCATGGAGCAATTCAGGCGGCAGAGAAGCCCACATCCGGTGGTGTCGTCGTCTGATGAGGAGCAATGTGAGACGACTTTCATGACCAGCTTCGCTTTAGATCCCTCCAAGACCGTCTCTTACTTCCTTCAGATCACGAAGGATGCTTTTCACGGACATCTCTTTCTCAGCAGTAATCAGAAGAAATGAACTTAAAGTTTACATTTTTAATATTTAATCAAAGCCAATTCAAAGGGAACTAAACTCAAACCTCGACACTTCCCAGACTAAATCTTGGAATTTGCACACATCTTTATCAAATGGCTCGAGCTAGATAAGATTTTGTGACCCAATCATTCAAAATCTCAGATTTTCTTAACTCAAAAACCAATCCTACCAATCTTTATTTCCGAAAAATGATGAAACACATCCAGAAACAGAGGAAAAAGGGATGAAGAAGAAGAACCTTTCTTCCCCAAATGTGAAACGAAAATGTCTAGCTCCACCGTCGATCTCACCGAGGCAAATCGATTGGCCCGCCACCGGTTTGATGAGAAACGGTTCGATTTGAACTACTATGCATAACACATCAAAATTTCAACTGTAAACATAAACCAAGTTTTAGCAACTCCCTTTCTCTTCGATTTGAACTAATCACTGCCCTAGTTGTCAATTTCCCCAGTAATCAATCAGCAATAGAGAATAAAACGGCAAATTAGCAAAGCAGGAACCTTGTATTTGAAATGAGGATTGTCGAGACGAAGCATGAGACGTTTCATTCAACCGAGATCGAACCCTTCACCGGAATATGTTCGAGCTCCCTTGGGCACACCTGCTTTCTCATATTTTTTGAGAGATTCGAAAAAGCCAACGAATCTCTGAGAAGAGCGGTTGATTTGTCATCAGAGCGGAGTGGACGCTGCAATCCGTGAAGAAGCCCAGAAGCACCGGCGGTGCGAAGAGAGAGAGAAGAAGGCGTTTCGGATGTGCAGCGGAAAAATGTAATTGGAGTTAGGAAAAAAAAAGATGTGAAAAGAAGGCTAGGAAAGGCGATGCAACATTGGTGAAAAAGAAGAAATTTTTGAAGAAAACAAAAAACAAAAAGGAAGAAATTCACAGAATCTGCCACGTGTCCATCTCTCGTGCGGCGATAGATGGAGAGAGATAGGCAAGATTATTCATTTCTTAGAAATTTCATAATTCCACAATTTTCCTTACAAATTAATAAATTATATACGGACACGAAACACTCTATGGTTTGATCTTTTATCCACCGAGTCTCTCTCTTGACTGTTACCAGCAAGGCAATAATTACTCAGAACAAATCTCATAAGATCGCTTCATGGGATTTCAATGTCGAACTCTCTTCTCCTCCTCCTCTTAATTCTTCTCCGATTACCAATCACCGGTCTTCACCTTCTCCTCGTCTTCCTTCACTCTCTCTTATATCTCTTCTCCTTTCACTCAACAGATCTTTCATCGTGTTATGGCGTCGGTTTTCCTGTATCACGTCGTCGGAGATCTAACGGTGGGAAAGCCAGAGATGGTCGAGTTTTACGAGACGGAGACTGTCGAATCGGCGATTCGAGCGATCGGAGAGTCGACGGAGTGTGGGATTCCGGTTTGGAGGAAGAGATCGACGCCGTCGCTTCCTGGGTTCGTGGAGAATAGCGAGATGAGACAGCATAGATTCGTCGGGATTTTGAATTCGCTTGACATCGTTGCTTTCTTGGCTAAGACTGAGTGTCTGCAAGAAGAAAAAGCTATGAAGATTCCTGTCTCTGAAGTTGTTTGTTCTAACAACACTCTTCTCAAACAAGTTGATCCTGGGACAAGGTTAGCTTAAGCTCAAGCTCAATTTTTTGTCGCAAAGTTCGCAAATTTGATTATGGGTCTAGTTCGATTGTAGTTGCATACTTCTAGGATCTCAATTTACTGAAAAGGGTCACATTTTAAGCTAGTAAAGCTCGCAAATTTGAATTTCTGTTTCTTAAATCGTTCCTGATTTAGTTCTATTGGATGTGTCTGCGACTGGTTCACATCTCTTGCTCAATCTTTTGTCATAAAGCTCGCAAATTTAAGATTTTATGTTTACTTGAATAGTTCCTGGTTTAGTTCTGTGTGATGTGTTTCCCAGACTAGTTCGATTTTAACTTCTATCTAGGATCTCTACTTTAGTATAAAGTGTCACATCTCGAGCTCAATTTTTGTCATAATTTTGAGTTTCTATTTCTTGAATAGCTCCTGGTTTAGTTCTATTTGACGTGTGTCCAAGACTAGTTCGATTTCTAGTTGCATACATTTAGGATATCAACTTTACTTAACAAGGGTCACAGCTTATGCATAAATTCTAGTGTGAAGAGCCTCATTTCCTTAGATCTAATTTAATCCAAAGTTGGTCATGTTCGTTTGTTTGGTGTAGTGATAATTGAGTGAATCTTAGATCCCTGATTTCATTATATTCTCTTAACATGGTTGGATTTAAGCAGAGAAACTCATACATATAGGCCATGTGCTTGGATATAAGAAAGTGGGATCTCAGTCTTTCTTATTTTATTTGATTGATTTGATAAAAATAGTTAAGGTACATGATGGGTTCGTGCCTTAAATTACCAACCTTGGCTAGCAAAATGAAGCAATAACAATGTTCTCTTGTGCTCTGTGTTTAAGAAAATCTTGCAAACATCTGGGAAAACACAAATGAGAATAGTTTTAAAATGCTCCAATCTTGTTGACTTTTATTTTGCTTAGACCTTAGTCAATTCTTCTTTTATGTCTTCAACTACTTTTGTTATTTGAAATGATATAACTTTATGTCATCAACTAACACAGAAACAGGTAATACATTTTTAAATGAACTTTTTGTTTAGATTCTGTGATGTTAATCATTTTTACTTAGTTTTTTTTTGTCTCTTACCAAAAGATTCTCTACCTATCTTTCACTCCTTTATTATTCTTCTCTCCCACCAAACTATAAAGAACTATTGTTAATTGACTATAAACATGTGCATCGTTATGACCAACTGGATTTGAAATGCTGTTTAGACGTTTGTTTATATATACTATGATGTATACTTCTATTGGTCCCATACTCATTGATCCTCATGTTACTTTTTTTAGGTTTATTTTGCTTGCTTCTTGAAATTCTGATTCCTTTGTTGCAGTGAATTTGATATGTCTGTTGATGGAATTTTACAATTATTTGTTTATGATGATAATGCTATTGTATCTATTGTAACGCAAGGTTGATAGATGCTTTGGAGATGATGAAACAAGGAGTGAGACGACTTCTGGTTCCGAAAAGCGTTGTCTGGAGAGGTATGAGCAAGAGATTCTCCATTCTTTACAACGGAAAATGGCTGAAGAACAATGAAAACTCTAGCAGCAGCAGTGGTCTCACTGCTGACTCTACCAACAGGCCTGCTACTTCCAAGGCTTCAAGCCGGGACAAGTTTTGCTGTCTCTCAAGAGAAGATGTGATACGCTTCCTTATAGGTGTTCTTGGAGCATTAGCTCCTTTACCGCTCACATCTATCTCCTCTCTTGACATCATCAATCTAAACTATAACTTCATTGAAGCCTCTCTTCCAGCCATAGAAGCCACTCGACAGCCACCTTGTGACCCTAGTGCGATCGCTGTGTTGGAACAAACCGAAAGCGAAAAACAGTTCAAGATTATAGGAGAGATCTCAGCTTCAAAGCTCTGGAAATGTGACTATCTTGCTGCAGCTTGGGCTCTAGCTAATCTATATGCAGGACAGTTTGTGATGGGAGTTGAGGACAACATGTCGTCTAGATCATTCAGTGACTTCCTCCAAACTTCATTTGTTGGAGGAGAGCAGAACAACGGAACAGCGAAAACAAAGGCCAAGAAGTTCAGTAGCAGGAGCATTGGTTTCAATCCAACAAGCCCGACGAGGTTGAGCATCGGTAGGAGCATGTACAGGGGAAGAAGTGCGCCGTTAACTTGCAAAACGTCGAGCTCGTTGGCTGCGGTTATGGCTCAGATGCTTTCTCATAGAGCCACACATGTTTGGGTTACAGAGGCTGATTCTGATGATGATGTTCTTGTTGGAGTTGTGGGTTATGGAGAGATCTTGGCTGCTGTTACTAAACAGCCTTCTGCTTTTGTTCCTTCAAATCGGTCTTATGAAGGTTTTGGGAATGAAAATCAAAGCTAAAACATACACAAATCAAATGTATAAACAATATTTCTGTCTGTTTTACTGAGTAAAAGGATAGTTTTGGGTGTTGGTCAATTTGTGTACCATTGAATTTTTTTAGTATCAGTGCTCACATAAGCAAAAAGAAATGAGCTATTTTTTATTTTGGGACAGTCAAGGCTGTTTCTCCATTCATTACCATGTGAACTGTTGTTGATAGTGTTTACAAGATATCTATAAAATTAATTTGTGTTACTATATTATTGAGAAAGCAATGTGTATGAGAATGGGGTCAGTTTGGTTTGACATATCATGAGAGACAGAGAGGTTCATGAAGATTTTGCTCTAAGAATAATAAATAAGACCACCGAATGTATTTAATGAACACTCTAGTTGATCACGCAAATAAATGATTGAAAACACCATCTAGGTTTACAAAAAACCAAAATTTGATCATATTACAGATGATTTCTCAATCGGAATTTTAAATTCACTATATTACACTTTTTATATTATAATAAAAATGTTTGTACTTATTATAACTATACCTATATTTTTTTTTTCAAAAAAAAAAAAAGACTACATTTTTATTTTAAAATAAATATACAAAGATTTGATAAAATACAGTAGTTATATTAGTTTCTAGGAAAAATCCGGATTTCCATAATCAATTTTCTGCCATGAATAATTATTTTATGAGCTCATATAGAATTTAAATAAAATATAAAACAAAACCAATAATGAATTCATGAAATTCTGTTATTATTTATCATAAATTGGAGGTTAAATGTGCTCTCCCAACTTTCAAACCTACTTAGTGGAAGAACCATACACATTCTTTTTTTTTTTTTTTGGTCAACGAAAACTTACATTAAATCAAGAGAGGTTTATCTCCAAGGGGAGATGATACAAAGGCCACAGTGAGCCAAATAAATCAAAGCATCAAACCACAGATTGGTCGAGCATAAGATTAAACAAAAGAAACTACAACAACTCAAATAGAGGTAAATGGATAGATGGGAGCGTACATGCTCAACCGAATTAGCACTCAGAACAAAGCAACAATAGCTGTCTTGATCGAAACCACCAAGAGGAGGGGTAACCGCCTCCAAAGACAAGAAGGTCAAGCCGTCAACAATAACAATTGCTGATCGAGATCCAAAGAGTCTCTTGGTTACTGCTCTAAATAGAACAGCCTTCACGATGCTCCCTGTAACAATACCACTTAAACTAAGTGAAATACATGGGAGGAGAATAAGCTCCTTAAAGGAGAGATGAGGACAATAGAAGTCCAAAACCAGAGTAACTGGATGGAAACAACTAAGACAATTCTTTCCACTCTGCCACTGAGAGAAAGAATATGAAGCACAAGCCGTCACAGCAAGGATGTAAACTCTGCATACTGCAGTAAAGAGACGCACTACGGCGTTAAGTGAGCCAACAAAGGCCAATAAACTGGGAACAATCACCAGCACTAACCATTCCACTAAAGTCTTACAGCAATCCACAGAGGGAGAAGCAAGAGACAAAGAGGAGGAGTAAACCTGGGTGAGCGAGTGAAGAAGGACGATGAGAGTGACGAAGGGAGAATCCGCTTCAAAGAAAGCCACCAGCGGAAGAAGAAACACTTCTGTAGAGGACATGTCTAGAGAATCTGGAGACTTCTGCAGGAGAAGCAGGCTTACTGCAAGGTGGTGAGACGAACTCGAGGAACCAGAGGCTCGATCGGAGGAAAGACTGCATACTGCAGGAATGGGTGACCCAAGAGGCGTCACAACAACACCGGAAGCAAAAATCGGATCTAGATGGGAAAGCTCTAGATCTAGATCTGGAGAAAACACTTGGGGAGAGGAGATGTGGAATGCGGTGAGCTTCGAAGGAGGGGGGAGACCAGGAGGGAAAAGGAGAGGCACAGACCGTAGATCCGGCGGATCCGGTGGGTCTGGTGGCTCCGGCGGATGGGGAGGGTGGAGAGATTTGGTGGACGTTCGATCTGGCGGCTTCGGCGGAGCAACCGGACGGGATGGGGACTCAGTCCTCAAAAGTCCCACGTACTCCATCGTTGGCTGCCGGAGGCGAGAACGAGGTCGGAGAAGTGAGTAGAATCGTCGGAAAGAGGAGGCGACGAGGGAGAAGTAACGGCGACCAAGGGAGGCGGCAACTTCAGGGGAGCAAAACGCACGGACTGCCGGAAGGGAGGCGAAGCCGGAGACTCATTCCGTTGAGGAAGGTTGCGTCGTGCGGCGGCCTCGGAAGCCGTGCCTGAGAGAAAAAATTAGGGCGACCCCAAGCTCGAGAACTGTCTTTTTTTTTAGCAATAATGATTGAACCATACACATTCAATCGATTACAAATCTATCTATTTTGCCTCCTTTCACATTTTATTACCAAATCACCACTAAATTCTCAATCTGTTAACTACATGAGCTTGAAAGTTAAAGTTGAAACCAAATACTCTAACTCTACAGTAAGTTGCATTTATTGATTTCTCATACCAAATTTGGCTTCCTCTTGATAGGGCAAAGTAGATGAAAACTTTATAGCGTTAGGGTTCTATATATAGTAAAAGTTACACAAGAATCTTTAACCGTCTTTGATCTATCTGCTCAAAACCGTCTTGGTAAAATAATGGTTACCAGTCAAACTTAACAAAGTTTTAGGTAATGTGCTAGTACTAGATAGCATCCTCAATGTTTTCAATTTCTCGCAATAACTCGTCCACAACTTCTTGTAAGAAATATCATTCTCAGATTGTTTAATCCAAGAGTCGACATAAAAATTTCTATGTTAGCATTATTTTAGCTCTAACCTTGCATGTGTTGTTAGCATTCTTAACTGAATGTTAACATTATACATTTATACTGTATATCTTGCTTCGACATATACTTTTAATTAAGAATGCTTGATTTCTCTAGTTTCCCTTTGATCTTTCTCAATGTGATACCTTGTTTCAAAATTAGTTTCTTCTTGACCTTGTCGATTCCCTTCATAAAATTTTCTAATTCTCTTCCGAATCCACCTTACTTGCGTGGTGTTTTGCGTTTTTTTTTCTTTTTCTTGTTTTTGTTTTTGTTAAAGGAAATCACATGTTCGTATTTACGTGTTTTTTAAATACGAGTTTGTTAGAGATTTCCTCTCTAGTGATTAGACCCACATTAAAAATTTACATAAACAAGTTTGTAAGAATATAATATACATAAGTGTCTTTTTTTTTTTTTTTTTTGAACAACAAATAAGTGTCTAATGTTATAAAGCTATTCAACAAATTTATAAGTCATTATTCAAAAGAATAAAATAATCAACCAATACCGATTTACAAAGCAACTATACAAATTAACTTATAACGTCACAAAATCATTTAATACATGTACTAATAATCATTTGAAACAGAGCGTTCGACAAAGAAATATCAATGTTGTCTCTTTGTTTTATGTGGAAGCTTGGCCCATATTCTAAAAATATATTAGTATCGATCGATAAATTGTTATGCATTAATCTAGATTAATAGGCATGAGGCGAGTGAAAACGGGAAAACATGCTGCAGAAGGAAACATAGAGCATTCAAGGAAGAAGATGGCCAGTTGGACGAAAATGATGTTCCTTTTTGTCTTTCAATCCACAATTAATTATTGTATATTTTTTCCTTCTTGATGCAGAGCAAATTCAAGGTATTTTGGATGCAAAGAGATGTAGAGTTTGAATTCAACTTATAATGTACAATTGTACACTGCTCAAAATACTAAATGTTGCAAAAACTATATTTGACCAAAAAATTATGGAGTCAAAATTCGGCATCAGACATGCGTGTGTTAACACAATTTTGGATTGCATAATATTCGATTTGTGTTAAGACAATTTAATTTTGAGACAAAAAATGTGGAATTATGAATCATTTTATCTAATTATGTCAAAACTGAATCAATAATTTATTTACACTTTTACTACTTTAAATTGTTCTTAATCACCTTCAAAAGTTTTACTAGTTTGTGTAATTATTTGTCTCTCCAAATATCGAGTTTATTAAGACATCATCCGTGTGAACCTAGGCAAATTGACATTAGTTAAAAGCTAATCACGGGGAAACTGGTGTGGTCAACACTCTTAACACCAATAGATTGACTAAATTTTAAACAAGACAGCTTTGTGATATGTCATGTGTGAATTATAACGAACAATTATTAATTAATTTCAGATCTTGCAGATGGAACAAACATTTTGTTTAAACATCTACAATAAAAACAGTGTCTCTTTGCACTCCAATGAATAAACATTCAAAGATAATGATAATATGTTGTCTACTCCCTGCACTTGAATATGAATGATTGTTCTTTACTCAAAAAGAGACATTTTTGTTCTTGTATTTTAAACTAAAACGACCACTTAGATCTTATAGATCATAACAAAGCACTAAACTTGATCCAACTTCTTAATAATCTGAACATATCACAAAAGCTTAACTTTAAGAGCTTCACCATCACCATCATCAACATCAACGCCATCATCATCATATTAATATTCCTCAAATTGCCAGCTTAACCAAAAAATGACTCTTCCCAAAATATGCTACAAGTACAATCCTGAGGATAAAATACTAAACTTTTAAATTTCTTAAAACCCATGAGAAACAAATTGGAGTAAAGAAGAGAAGGAAAAAAAAACCAAATATAGATATTGATTAAAGAGAGAACAAAAAAAAAAACCAATCTTGCGTAAGTTTGAACAACATCCTCCCAAAAAAGTCCTAAATCCCTTTCTTATCAAATGGCAATGCAAAAGGATAAATTTAATTAATGAGGATGATGATGTTGCTGAGGAAAGTAGGTAATGAAATTTAACGAAGACTGAAAATTAAATTATAAACAAAAAATAAAAGTAAAGAACCAAACCAAGAACATATATTCTTTTTTTCTTTCTTGCCTTTCACACTTTGCAGGTGAAATCAAGATGCAGAAGATTTACTCTTTCACTGCACCTAGATCAATCAGAAACCACAACATCAATACAGGAAGTTAGAAAAAAACCCAAGAAGAAAGTATAATTTGGAAATCAGAAGCTTACAATGAAAGATCTCAGATATGGCAACCAAAGCAATTGCAAGTTTTGGGTGTGAAAGAGCAATAACCAAAGGGTCTATTAGGGATGTTGCAGTTAATTGCATAGCAACAAGGTGAAGGCAAGCAAAGACCTTTAGCACCTCCACAACAAGTGCAAACTGAACATATCTGGAAGCTTCCAAGCTTCCTTCTTGTTTCATTCATTACCATAAACTTCTCCTCCATTAATGGCACCATTCTCATCTCTCCTTCTTTTTCAGATGGTTTTAGCTCATTTGCCTAATAATTTCCGACATAAAGTTTCAATTAAAGCCTAGAACTTGCAATCTAGTATAATGGGGAAAGCTCGAAATATTGGAATCAGCTTAGGTTTACTCAAAGAAAGATTCAATTTTTCAGTTGTATCTCGCAAAATCAGAAACACCCAAATGAAATTTAACTGAAGGGATCTAAATGGAGAGGTCGAATTGAAGAAACACACTCACCTGGAGGCTGAAAGTGATGAAGATTGAGAAGCAAAGAAAGAACAGAACAATAGAGATCCTGGGTTCTTCTAAAGCTCTCATCTTTTTGTTGAAAGAGTTTGTGGGATTTATGTGATTAGGGATTTTGGTAAAGTAGCGAAATGCCTTACCTTTTTTCTCACTTTCTTCTGCTTCTTCTTCTTCTTCTTCTTCGTCCTTTTCTCTCGAGCGAGCTACTTTTTTCAATTATTTGGTTAAACATTTATTATTTGTAGAAAAAATTTTTTTTTTTATGAAGGAATATGTGGGGTCCTTATTTAATGTTCTTTATTTGCCACTTCATTACCACACCAATATCGAATCAAAAACATGATTGAAAAACCATGTCATTGCTAACAAAACAGTTTATTCTTGTTCTTCTTTTTTTTTTTTCTGCAGGATCCGATTCCTTTGGTGACATATGCCAGTGAGGGAATTTTTTGTTCCTAAAGCTGATTTGATATTTTGATAATTTTTCCTTAGAACTTAGAACCGTGCAGTGAGCGCAACAAACCAATTAGAAGGCTATATAACCGATGCAGCCCTCGTTCGTCAATTACAAAAGAAATTAATTCAAAGGCGGAAATTTAGATAGCCTTTTGAGTTCATACTTCTCTTACAAATACAATTTCAATAGAGAGGTTGTATAAAAGTGGGATGCCTAGTTCGATGGAATATTGGACCATCTGTTCAGACTCATCTCTGAAATATATAAGAGATAAGTGTGATTTTTTGTTGTCTTTTTTTTTTTTTTTTTTAACTTTTACCAAAAATATCTCAGACTTATCTCTTATATATGAACACAAGAAAAAATTAGGCGATACTTTACAAGTTCTAAAAATATTTAAAGGGCTTACTCGCAAATGAATTTTTAAGAATTTGTTAAAAAATGTCAGAAATCTTTGTTATTGGTTAATGAATTCCAACAATCTTATTAAAATCTGTATTGGTTTGATGATTTTCTAAAGTAAAATCCACTATAATTCAAAAAGTTTGTGTTTTCAGGATTTCATGAATCCATTAAAATAAGAAGCATCTTTTTTTTTTTAATAGCACTTCATTTAATAAGAGGTCTAACAAAGGGTCACAAATACAAGGAGATGATATCCTGAAGGCATTTCTTTGCGAGAGCATCGGCAATAAAATTGTCCGATCTCGGTGTGAAATTGAAGGAGATTGAAACAAATACTTTTGACAAGATGAAGATATCGTGAAGGATACCGAAGATTTCAGTAATTTGTTCTCCTGATTGCATGGCTCGGATGAGCGTTTTAGAGTCAGATCGGAGGCGAATCGAATTCCAGCCAGAGATCTCTGCTTGGTGTAGGGCTTCACTGACAGCAATCATTTCCGCTGCGAGAGGAGATAGGACGAAAGCCTCTCCTCTTCCTCCCTGTCCGATGATTTGATTCCGTTTATCTTTTGCGATCCATCTTGTTCCGGCACATTTGTTGTCCTGGTTCCACGCTGCATCTGTGTAGAGGACAATGGCTTCCGGGTCCGTGTGGGATGGGACATAGCGAGGTTTCCCAGTGGTCGTAGTAGGTTTAGAATTCTGATCTTGTTGCCATTCGCGAGCATCCGCACAGGCCTTTGTAATGATTTCTGATGGTTTGAAAGACCGGTTTTCAAACAGCAGATGGTTCCTTGCTCCCTATACATTCCAACTGATCCAGGGGAACAAAGAACCAAGTTCAATTCCTGTCGGAGGGAGAGGTAGCTAGAGTTTAGATGCCTTCAAGACTTCCGGGTATGTTTGAGTTGGGGAATGGATGAACGGGGTTTTTGTTGGGGTGAGGTCCCAAACTTCCAACTCCCCACAGTGACGACATCCGATCCTGTATATAGGCCTCTAGCTTGTAGGCTGCTACCAAGCGCCAATTTCCAGAGAAACATCTGGAGTTTCGGAGGTATCTTCCTAAACCATATTTCTGCGTTCCAATTTATGTCCGAGGTGGGTTCCTGTTGCATCACTGATTGGAATTTAGATTCCTATGCTAGGTGGTACCCGATTTTTGTCGTGTAGGTTCCAGACTTGGTGGAAATCCATATATGCTTGTCCGACACACCCGTGAGACTTGATTTGATGCATAGGATTTGTTGTTTTAGTTCTGGGAATACTAATTCCACCTTCTCTCGGTCCCACTTGTTTGTGTCTGTCTGGGGAAGATCGGCAACAACCCAATTCACTGTTTCCTTGGTAGCTGGTCTCGTTGGTCGGGTTATAGTTGATATTGAGAGCCAAGTGTCATTCCTGATGCTCGTTGTCTTCTGATACTAGGATTTTACTATCCTAAAGCATGTATCTATCGCTGCAGTACTCCAGGTATCAATCTAATCATGTGAGATGCTAGCAATCAAGATGTGACAGAACTACTCAATTCAAGCCAAATACTTCAAGTTGTGGTGATAATGAACAAAAGAGATCGAGTAACTCGATCGAGCTAGAACAAATAAGAAACAACTGACAGTGAAACAAGTCGATCGAGTGCAATATGAATGCAATCGAGCTGAAACAATATGATGACGGATGTGAATATCAGGGAAAGATCAAGCTCCTAAGGATGGGGTAATCGACCTGTAACTACTCCTAACGTGATCTCGTCGCTTAACAAACCTCAAACACGGGCTAGATCCTAAATACTACAATTATATGTTGTGCACTTGCAACACTAGTTGTCTTAGGGAATTATTACTTGTACTCATCCCATAGATGCAGCGATCAAGTTTTTGGCGCCGTTGCCGGGGATTGCATCATAAACACTTGCATAGTCTTGTTTAAAACTAAGTCTAGATCTTGGTATTTTCGAATACTAACTTTTTCTTTTTAAATCTTGTGTTTATAGGTACTTGGAGATGAATCACAACACCAACATCCACTTTGGGAACCGGACACTGATCCCACACGATCTCCACGGCCGGAGTTACCAAGACCCAGCCGTAAGCATCGTGCCACATCCGTTCCCTCCCAACCGCGCTCATCCGACGTTTGAAGGACCTAGCCGAGACGAGCATCATTACCATCATCATCAAAACCGACCTCCGGTTTATCATCAACCACCTAGACCAGTGTTGCATTCACACCACGACCATGTTCTCAATAGGCGGAGAGATAGCCATTTCGATGCCGTGCTTGAGGGTTTCATGGAGAGCCAAAGAAAACTAGCCGCGACATTGAGACAAAGCTAGAGTTCACGCGATACGAACTAGATGGAAGACTTGGAGAACTCTCTACCCAAATAGAGAGAGTAGAGTCAAGATGCTTGGACATGGAGGAAGATTTGAAGAAGCAAGGCGAGGCCATTGAAGACAATAGGAGAGCGATACACTTTACCAAAGTTTCTACCAAGGAGATGGATAATCACTTAGATGAGAAGATCTCAAGTCTTGATAACAACCTCGATGGCACCACCAAGAGTCTCAATTCAATAACAGCAGTAGCTCATCAAGCTAAGAGGGAGGTAGCCGAAGTGACACTAAAGGAGAGGCAATGTTACTCGACAATGCTTACATTGGTGGAAGGGCAAAAACAAGTGAAGGCACAAATCCGAGATTTACACATCTCTCTAGACAAGAGGAGCCAAGATATTCAAAGAAGAGCTAGAGGGCTTGAAGACAAAGTAGATGGAGTCTCCAAGGAAGTCAAGGATTTAACCACTCGCTTAGCCAACTTGGAAGAGAAGGTCTTGACCGAGACAAAGACGACCGTTCCTAAGCAAAACTATGCCGCGCCCGTCTTTACTATAAGAGAGACCGACCCAAGAGTGATTTGGGATGAAGAAGAGAGTAGAGCTGATCAAGAAAGAGCCACAAGCTAACCACTGGAACAAGAGAAGATAGCACCAAAAGGAAGAACCCTTACTCAAAGGTCTTCACAACCGCCTCCCACCAAGGAGAAGAGGAAGACAAGATCATCACTTGAAGAGATCATAGATGATTTCAACTTTATGGCGAGGAGATTCCCTTATGGTGTGCCGTTTGATAATGCTTGCAACAAGAGTCCATTCATGCAAGACCTAGCTTGGACACAAGATTGGAGTCTAGCTGAATTGGAAAAGATGTACGAGGAAGCAAGAAAGGGGATGCCTAAACCTAGGTTTCTACACAAGCTTCATGACCCAGGTTACTTCCTTATACATTTCTCTATCAATGGAAGCTACTTTGATGATGCTCTTTGCGATTCCGGTTCTAGTGTGAACCTTATGCCGGCCGAGATAGCCAAGAAGTTGGGATTGATCAATTCAATTGTGAAATCTCGAATGGATTTAAAGCTAGCTGATTCATCATTGACCGAACCACTTGGAGAGGTTAAAGACATTCAGCTTGATTTTGGAGGCTGCATAGTTCCAGCCAACTTCTATGTAGTAACCATGAAGGATCCGGAGGACTTAAAGCTTTTGCTTGGAAGATCATTCCTAGCCACAGCTGGAGCGATCATGGATTGGCCTAATAGAAGAATCTCTCTAGCCAATGTTGACAAGGACACCTTCTACGATGCTGCACCTCCCGGTTTCTCATCCAAGCGATTTCGCTACACAAGTGGAGGAGAGTGCTCACAAGTAAGAGGAGAGTCGCATGGCTACTTGATCAAGGAAGTTCTACAGGACAAGATGCACTTGGAATCATCAGGCAACAGGAAGTTCTTGGAGCCACCAATCCTACCTAACTAAGAACACAAAGGAGTCGAGCTACAAAGACTTAAAACAAGCGCTTGTGGGAGGCAACCCACATTTTCTTATCCCTTCCTCTTTTTATTTTTTTATTTAAACTATTTATTTGTTCTATTTATAACTCTTAAATTTTTGAGAGTTTAATAAATTTTACAAAAATAAAATAAAAAGTGTTTTAGGAAAAAGTACCAAAAAGGAGGTCTACATGAAAAATGCATTGGAAAGCTACATCGCCACGACTTGACCTCAAAAGATTAACCATCTTTGGTCTAAGTATGAAGCATTGAGTCTAGTTTGAGTCCCACCCAAGTCCCACCCATGTTTCAAGAAGCAAAGAATCCAAGAAGGGCCACGGCACAATAAAATCCGGCCATTGGAACACTATTGCACAAGGCAAAGGTAAGTATCACTTCCATTCTTAAATGTCATTTCTTTTAAACACTATTTCTATCAAATTAAACATACACACTACTTGGATTTCTGATCAAGATCCAAGTACATATGGTTTCACGATCAAGTCTTTGATTGGGAAGTTCAAACTATTTTGAACAACTCAATCATTGACAGAGTTTAACAAAGAGTTACTAGTGTTTTTCAGATAAAATATGACAGGAGAACCGGTTCAAAATATCATACAAACATGGCGCGCAAAGGAGCCACAACCGGCCAAAGGAGGATTTACATGCCAAACATGAGAGATGAGGGAAATCCAACCACAATTCAATCCAGGAGGGATAGAAAAACAGTTCGGTCGAAGCAGAACTCAATTGGCCCGAGTAAATAAGGAGATATCAACATCACAACCACTCTCTCGGCCAGAATCGACGAACCAAGCGACAATGCTCGACCATCTCCCAAACGGCACGACCGAAGTCCACCAAACTTCACAGGCGACCTCAAAACATCATTTTGGTCGGCAAATCCAAAAGATAGGACGAGAAAAGTGCCTGCTACGTGAGATAGACGAAGGAAGCTCAATACGGCCGACGGCGATGCATAGAATGGCCGACGAACTCAAAACCTCAAGAAGGCGCGAACACCGGTGGAAACTGATCCTCTGGAGTCCAAAAAACACCAAGGAAGAAGAAAGGAAGGAGACGATCGAACAGATTAAGAGATGGCCAAAGGAATCACATCCCGAAGCCATTGGCGCGCACGACGAAAGATCTCCGAATCCACACGTTCAAATCGCCTCAAACTTCACAAGGAGCCACAAAACATAAGGTTGGTCGATGAAATTCATTTCAGTACAATGAATTCCTTACAATTCAAGAGATGGCCGATGGAGCAAATAAAATGGCCGACAATCCAAATCACGGCATTTACCGCGGCCACCGGCTCAAATCACCTCCATCAAGCCTCCACATCGCATCTAAAGAAGAAAATCCAGATTGGAACGAGCAGAATTGGAGAAGACCGACGGAAGACGTTCCCGGAGCCAATTTGAAAATTTTTCAAAGGAGATCTCAAACCACTCGTTCAAACGACCCCAAACTTCACCAGTCGCCATATTATACAATATTGGTCGACGAAATTTCAAGATAGGTCGAGGAAATCTTCACGGTTCGAGCTGTAGTCCATACCATCACCATCCGGTCGACCAAAACGGACCAGTCTCGGCCAAAAAGGCGAAAAACAGAAAACCAAGGGAGAATTGTCACATTCATCCAACCAAATCCAACAGCTATGATGTTTGCACCAGTCAGTTCATTCCTGGAAGCAACTAGCACAACCGATCTTCACATCAAAGGCCAAAAATTTGGGTACAATTTTCTACAAACTCTAACTTTTCCATTCTATTTATCATTACCTCTCTTAATTGGATTTTTCTTACACCGAGACGGTGCAAGTTAAGTCTGGGGGGATTACTAACAAGTTTGTTCTTTTTGAATTTCATTGAGTCGTTTTATTGAGTCAAAATTTTGTCAAAGGATTATGACCTTATCTTGGATCTAACCATTGTTGTGCTAACGTTTAAGTGACCATTGAAGCAGTCTTGGCAATACATCTTACCACAGGGACACTATGAGTTGATCGATCTACCAAAAACGCCCACACCTCCAAGGACTTGAGAAGGATCCACTCTTGACTCCGCCCTTAATGAACTTAATCTTCTCAGCTAGGGGCTTGGCATACAAATGGCATGATTCCTCATCCTCTCCATCAAATGAAAAAGTCTTAGTGAGTTCGTGCTTCCCTCTCTCTCCCCTTCAAATTTAAAGAAAAAGCGTAAGGTCCAAGTAACCGGGGATTCGGTGGCAAACACCATCAATACTCGCGTCTATGGAAGGCCTATGAATCCAAGCAACCGGGGATTCGGTGGCAAACACCATCAATACTCGCGTCTGTGGAAGATCCAAGCAAAACCTCTATAATAAAGAGAAGGAGTTGAATAAAAAAATACTTCGCTACCCTAAAAAAGGGATGAGTCAACTCAAAGAAGTGAGAAGAGAGAGAGGAGAAACATGGAGTAAAAAGACAAGTGCCAAAACAAGGGGATGAGAAAGAGTCTAAAGCCGGCTGATCGATACTCCCTAGTTGAGACCACACCTTTAGAAATGAAAGGAGTCAAGGAGGGTGAATTGGATTGTCCAAAGAGAGGTGGGCCGCCTTGGAAAAATCGCAAAACTCATGGTATGTACTCTTGTTCTTAATTCAAATATTTGCCTTTACTACTTTCATGTGGATTACTAAAACCAAGCCAACCCGGATTTCCTAATGATTTGAGAGTTCTTGCGTTTTCAAACCTCTCTTCCTCTCTTAGTTTGCTTGGGGACAAGCAAAAGGCTAAGTCTGGGGGAGTTGATATACCCATATCTTTCATGTTTTTATCAAGGTTTTCACTATGTTTTTAATACAAATAATGTGGTTTTTATGCCCAAGAGGTAGTTTTCTTGTATATTCTGGTTTTGAGCATCATTCAGGTCAAAATAGCAAAGAAGAGTCAAAATGGAGCAAAAAGAGTCAAATCACCAAGTTCCCAAGTCTAGAGCACCAAATCTACATTTCTCGCTAAAGACCAAACCGGAGCATCCGAAGTACGACCGCATATTCATGCCTTCCCGACGTCCAAAAGTCATGTTTCTTATATGGAAAGATAGATATTTGAGTCATGACCCGCGGCGAAGTGGAAAGAGGTCATTTGGATCACTCGTTGGACCGGAACTTATTTTCTACCAAGACATGTCCGACGAGCGCCTAAGTAGAGCCCATGGAGACTTTGATGGATCAAGAGGCCCGAGATACCGCGCCCAAGGCCTTGGCTCATCTTGACACTAGCATAACTCAATCCAGAAGCTTCCATTGGCCTGAACGCGGCCCATTCAAGAACTTGGAGAGCAAGCTCAAGCGGCTAAAGAGAAATGGAAACTTTCCTCTTCTGCGCGCGCTCAACTTTGCCGACCTAGACCCGCTCTCTACCTATATATACTTGCTTTTAGCCTCTTGTAATAAGAATCACCAGCCGCATAACAAGAAACACTTATTCAATAAAGTTCGGAGCCACTTAGGTGGTCTCCT